ACCTGTATAGTGGATGAGCACAGTACATTTTTCCTGCATTGCAACATAGCCAATAAAATTAATTTTAAAAATATTTGCTAAATGAGTTAATGACAGAAGGCTGGGTATGCAATTGCAAATCTGATTGGCCAACTATTCGAACTGATAGTGATCAATTAACCAATCAAATGCAACATAATAGTTTGGCTACCTACTTTCATGCAAAATGACAGCAGTACATAGTATTCAGATTGTATCATTTTTTATGTATCATGATACGTATTGCATCTTGAACACACAATCAAGACACATATTAATTCAGGCTTAACCCTTGAGACAGCATCGAAAACCCAGGGCACCAAATACACCAAATACTGTAACTCAGGGATGAGAATGGATATTTTCCTTTTCAGCTGAAACTTCTTTGGAATGGAGCGTGGTCCATAATTTGGGGGTGTTTAGGGGGGGAAGCCATGGGATTTTAACAAATTTGTGGTCACTCAAATACCAGGAAATCTGAAGATTCTCACCCCTGTTAACTGAAAAGAAATGTTTGTGGCAGGCAGTTGTGATGTGAACAGTGCAAAAATCAAATATTATTTCCAAACTTATTGGTGATGAAATGAAACAAAACATAATGGTTGTTGTGGTGCCTTAAAAAAAAGCGTGAATTAATAACGAGGTATTTTCACTTCAAACATGCCTACAATCCGTGTGTGGACAGACGCGGACAATGAACGGACACACAGCTACAATTACCTCCAAGGCACCAGGTTTAGTAATGGCCCGATCCGCCGATAGATCGCCCTATGACATAAACCATGCAAGCCGTGTCACTCAAACAATATTTCGAGCTTAAATATATATGTGGCTAGCTGCTTTGCAGTTTTTCAATAGATTTACAACCATTGATAAATGTTTTGAAACAATATCTCAAATGAAGATTATGAGCCATGAAAATGAAAAATGAAAAGTTAAAAAATGTCTGGCCAAATTTTTAAAATCTAACTTGCCTGAACTTGCATCTTGGTATTATTTTCGTTTCATTTATTCATAGTATAGACACTGATATCTAGAGTAGTGTCAGACCCAAAGGGTATTTTAACTTTCTGGTTTTGGACTAATGGCTAAAGGATGCAGCTTATTTTAAATACTATGAAGTATTATTTTTCAATATTCCAATGCTTAATCACATTTTCTGGTTAAGCGACCATCATTGAAAACGTCAGATATTTATAGCAGTGATCTAGCACTAGAAATACAAAGCCAGCCACACGCTGTACCTATTGCTTGAAGTAGTCGTCTTGTGTACTTAGCCAGTCTGAAATGTATACCATGTAAATAACGCATGTCAGTCACCTGTCATTTGGTGACGAGTTTCATTGAGTGACACGCCAGCCTGTCAACAGCTAGGTCAATGAAATATACATGTGAGAACTTATGATAATCTGAGAATACAGATGATGCACAAGATAAGTTGGGAGGTTGGAGAAGCACAGGGGTTGCATTTAGATGGGGTTGATGGTAGAGGTTTGGATGGTTTGGGGATATAATATATTTTAAGCTGGCATGGGTGAATCAAACTAGGTTGCATCAACAGGAAATTCACTGCACATACTCAGCGAAAAATAGACTAGGAGATAATGACAGAAAATGTTTCATATGCAACGTGTAAGGCGAGACCATTTTTTAACTTGTTTAACAGATTTTCTTGGCAAAATGTAAAAAATAGGATTAAAAATATTAATGAAATTATAATAAAAATATAAAAAAGGCAGGTTTGTTTGAGGTTTAAAATAATAATGTTACATCAATCTTTTAATAAAATATTTATATGAAATTCTTAAAAATGATTTTGTTTTAATTTAACTCAGACTCATGTAAAATTAGAGAAAAAAATGGTCTGACCAAGAAATATTGTCTAAAGGTTGTATCTAAACAGCTTTGAGATCTGACAGTTGTATGTAGTCCGTTTCAGGAACTTTCTTTCTTATGCACAGTCAAAATTCTAAAAACAGGGATCAGTATGTAATATCTCCTCCACAGCACAAGTGCTGAGCAAGTGACAACGATGTGATTGCTTCACTCGATCAACGTTACCTTGTTGCATTTCTCCCACACTGGAACTAAAGGCTCACAATTGATGCATCATCTTGTATCCATAGCTGGTTGCTGGACACAGTAATACTTAGAAACCCAATCCTGACTCATCTTCCTGAGGCAAGGGCTTTAACTGACTATTAAAGTCCAGTTTCCACCCTTGCCGAACTAGGCTGGAATTCTGGATTTAAATTTTGGCTGGAGTCTATGCATAGTCCAATAAAAACCGCATGACAAACTAAACATCTGGTTTGCAAACAATATGGATTTCAATGCGCAGATTTTGGTCGACTGCAGGATTTGCAAAGCATGTGTACTGCGAACAGCGTCTTGGCAGATATTTTGCAAATCTTTCATGCTTTTAATCAAGGTGCACATGTGATTTGATGCACTTCGGGAGGTAAGACACGTTTTATTACAATATAGATCTTGATTATCGATGGGATTGTCTTGACTGGGTGTCCTTATTTTTTCGAAGCAAATGCAAGTGATGTGAGAGGTGGAATCTGATTGGTCAATAGGAGGGACATAGAAGGGACATAACTTGTAAATAGCAACTGGTGGCACTACAATCAAGTCAGGAATTCCAGCCTAGTACGGCAAGGGTGGAAAGTGGACTTTAGAGTCAGTTAACGCCCTTGCCTCAGGAAGATGATCCTGTCACTGTTAAACATGCAGTGAACAATTGTGGTTATACTATTTGAAAAGAACTCCCCAAAATCTGAATGCTTATTACCACAGGCAAAGTATGCCTCCAGGCATTCTCTGCACTGGTCAATGAAGCCCGTGTTCAAGACAATCCACCAGCAACACTTGTGTTATACATATCGAGGCCATCTAAATATTGGTTAACAGGAACCATAACATATACTGATGGTAAGAAATATGTGAACAGCTGGAGAACCTCCAGTCTGAACGTATAACCACAAATTGTCAATGTACACAAAAGGGCCCATGTGCACAAAGCAGTCTCAGTCCTAAGACTATCCTAATATCAATACTTTTACACACACATATTGTCTTAGAACTAAAATCACTTTGTGCAAGTGGGTCTTAATACTGTTTTGTTGATTTGCATTGAAAAAAGTTAACATTATTTTGCAATGATGTTACATGTTCCCTTACTTTTATGCATCAGTATAATTCCAAATATTTAATATATGCAAAAAAGATGCTCAAATAGAATGGTTACATGTTTGGTTAGGTATAAATTCTGTGAAAATATTAAACCATTATTCATTTGTTAGGAGTTATTGCCACCAAGGACACGATCACGATACAAGATACAAATGATACAGTTCCCTATATCCATGGACGATACAAGACTGACTGGTACCGACAAAACAGACTCAGTATTACAACCCAGCCAACATACATTGCTGGGCGGTGGTGCTTGTTGTAACAGACACTACTGCTGTATACCTGGTACTTCTCAATGTCTCTTGTACAACTGACTTAGGAGATAAACACGTGTTTCTAGATGTGTGGGTCTTATTGAATATTCATTGCCCAGAAATTTCATCTGGAACCGATAGCGTTTCTGTAACCCTCTCAGCCTTTGTGTTTGTTTGTTTGTTTGTTGTTTAACGCCTCACTCAGCAATATTCCAGCTTTATGACGGTGGTCTGTAAAATAATCGAGTCTGGACCAGACAATCCAATGATTGACATCATGAGCATCGATCCACGCAATTGAGATCGATGACATGCATCAACCAATTCAGCGAGCCTGACCACAGATCCCGTTAGTCGCCTCTTATGACAAGCATAGTCACCTTTTACAGCAAGCATGGGTTGCTGATACCTATTCTAACCCGGATCTTCACGGGATCTCTACCTTTGTGAACGGTTGTGAGACAGATATAATATCACTGTGGAATGGCATTTAGTCATGATACAATGGATGACGTCATATATTCCCATGATAACTGATCCTGCCTGGTACATGTGGTATGCAGAACTTGAAATATAATGTGGACAGTTGTTCTTATCAATAATGATCAAACTTTATGAACACCTCACTCAGCAATATTCCAGCTATATGACGACGGTCTGTAAATGAAAGGAGTCTGGACCAACCAATCCAGTGAGTGACATCATGAGCATCAATCCACGCAATTGGAATATGATGTACTGATATCTAACAAAATACACTGAATATAAGCAGACATGCCATGAAGGAGTTTGTATAATATTTTCATATTTGGCATTGTATTAATAACAGCATTGAAATGGTGCACTTAACAAGATGAGGAATCTTAAGATCTTGTCATTGGTCCAATGTCCAAATACCAACTGCATTCAACCATATTAACCAACCAATCCCCATTTCAGTCACATTTAACATCCTCCTTATGTATGAGGCCAGGTGTACCAGTGTATACAGGAGTGGAGTCTGATTGTACAACAACCCAGCCAGCTACAGGTGCCTCACAGTGTTGACAGATGAACAGAGATGCTTACACTAGCTGGTTACCAACACATGGCTATAGGAGGGAAATAGATATACCACATTATTCTCATACATTATGTCCCCAGTAAACTTACCAGTCGTATCTTTTTCTTGTACCAGTTAAATGGGAAATAGCTTTACAAACAGATAGAAAGCTTTCTAACTGTCCGCATGTCACGCTACTTATTAAACTTCATAATGTTGAAATTTGGATCAATTAATAACTGTAGGTGATTTTGAGATTCATTTGTAATAGATGGACAAAACAAAGGTAATATTAAGGTTTCTAATGTTGAGAAATGTGAAAAATAATAGAGACAATTATTCTCTTAAGCAATGTAACTATAAAGACGTTGATGTTGATTTGAAAATGCTGACAAATGTGAGGGATGTTCACAAAACTAAATGAACAGTTCCCCAGACACGACAAGGTACAACATCTATGTGCTCCAACAAGCTGTCATACTTACTTTACTTTGTCTAAGGACGGCCCCTCCCCACTGTCGGATGAATGAAGTCTTGGCATGAGTGCGTTACTGACCGACGTCCCTGGACTGCCATAATTATCCACCCCGGCGCCACCGATCTCCCCACCCCACGCTGACCGGGCACCATGGCGACCTCGACTAGGGCTGGAGCAGAAAATAAGAAAAAATTTACTCAAATTAATTCTTTTGGATCCAGCACTCTCTCTATTCAGGTTTGAAAATATTTTTGATTGACTCCATGAGAAAAGTGTCTCTGGATGTTTCAAAACCTCAATATTTCTATATTCGAGTACAAATGTGTGTGCAGTATATATTCATGGCAATCATGTTTAAATCTAAACCACTGAGATTACTGAGACAAGCATACAGTGAATTCTTGATAGCAGCCATTGATTTGTACCATTGATTGATTTCAACAGCGGTAGAAATTGGCACTAGTCCTGTAGTCCTTGCCAAACTGCCCAATAGTTAAGGTATCATAAGGACAAGTAGAATTTTGCCATTTTTAATGGTTTTGCTAAATGTTATGATTATAAGGACTACTGGACTATAAATGTTCAACATTTGCCAAACTGGGTGGTTCCTGAGTGAATGTTGTGTAACGCAAATTAGTAATATTCCAGCTTTATCACAGTGGTCTGTAAATAAAAAAGTCGGGACCAGACACACCAGTGACAAAAAGCATGATCAACGATCTCCGTGTCCAGGTCTGAATACATGCAAGTATCCAAGTCTCAGAGCCTTACCACCCAAGCCTCTCCAGGCAGCTCGTACAACAAGCATAGCATAGAATGGACCTTCTCTTGCCGGGATACAGGTTGTTCTGGAATACCATCTAAGATTGGGGAGGGGGTTAGGGCTGGTACAGGTAACTCGGGTACCCGGGTCCTTGGGTACTCAGTAGGACCTGGGTACCCTCCGCACTACCCGGAACCGTGATATATAATTTAATGACAAAAATTACCTAGAACTCTATGGTAACACTACAAGTCACTAATGTTCGCATTTCTTTCTGACTATGCACCCATTCCTTCTGACTTTTCGTATGGTTGAATATAGATATAATTTAAGTCATCTTCAGCGTATGAATAACCAGATTGTTTAATACATGTATCTGAATATGTTTTGCCAGGGCTATGGTTAAAAAACTTCCCAATTGGACATGTTGTACCTATCTCTTGAGACCTACAGTAGGTAGCCGGGTAGTGTCAGGTAATAGGGGTGTGGGTACCCAGGTAGTAAAGTTAGACTCGTCCCAGCCCTAGAGGGGGTGCTTTATTTTGTTTGTTGTTAAACACTACACTAGCAACATGACAGCTATGTGATGGTTGTCTGTAAATAAGTTTAGACCAGACAATCCAGTGCCTGACATGAGCATGGATATACACAATCAACATGCATCAACCAAGTCAGTGAGCCTGACCACCTGAACCTGCTAGGGGCCTCTTATGACAAGCATGGGTTGCTGAAGACCAATTCTATCTTGGATCTTCACATAATCAGTAACACAACTTATTGTACAGTTTATTACTGGTCACCTGTCAATGTCAAGCAGTGGGTTTGCTTGAGACAAATGGCAATAGGACATTTCCATGATTAGAGCTTTTGATAGGATATTTTTCTATATCCTAACCAAATTTGATAAAAATCTTCAGGACATTTCGGATGACAATGAGCCAATGTCCCAGGAAATCAACCCATCTGAAAATGATCGAGTGATCTCATCTTAAATGAGGGCTGAACAGATTTTAAGGGATTTATAATTTAGTGTAGAATTAGCACTGAACTCAAAGGTGAGCTTGGAGGCAGTTAAAGACTGTTAGAAGAATGATGGGTGCTTTAATTTCAGCGTCATGAATATGGGGTGGCAGTAGGGGTGGGAATAGTGGCAGTGAGGGTGGTAGTGGGGTTGATGGTGGAGGTGGTAGTGGTGGGGATTGGCAGTGAGGGTGGCAGTGGTGGTGATTGGCAGTGGGGTTGGCAGTGGGGTTGATGGTGGAGGTGGTAGTGGTGGGGATTGTCAGTGAGGGTGGCAGTGGTGGGGATTGTCAGTGAGGGTGGCAGTGGGGTTGATGGTGGAGGTGGTAGTGGTGGGGATTGTCAGTGAGGGTGGCAGTGGGGTTGATGGTGGAGGTGGTAGTGGTGGGGATTGTAAGTGAGGGTGGCAGTGGGGTTGATGGTGGAGGTGGTAGTGGTGGGGATTGGCAGTGAGGGTGGCAGTGGTGGTGATTGGCAGTGGGGTTGGCAGTGAGGTTGATGGTTGAGGTGGCAGTGGTGGGGATTGGCAGTGAGGGTGGCAGTGGTGGGGATTGGCAGTGGGGTTGGCAGTGAGGTTGATGGTTGAGGTGGCAGTGGTGGTGATTGTCAGTGAGGGTGGCAGTGGTGGGGATTGGCAGTGAGGGTGGCAGTGGTGGTGATTGGCAGTGGGGTTGGCAGTGAGGTTGATGGTTGAGGTGGCAGTGGTGGTGATTGTCAGTGAGGGTGGCAGTGGTGGTGATTGGCAGTGGGGTTGGCAGTGAGAGTGAAGTTGATGGTTGAGGTGGCAGTGGTGGTGATTGGCAGTGAGGGTGGCAGTGGGGTTGATGGTGGAGGTGGCGATTGGCAGTGGGGTTGGCAGTGGGGTTGATGGTGGAGTTGGTAGTGGTGGGTATTGGCAGTGAGGGTTGGGATTGGGTTATTACGGTGCAAGTTACTGTATCCATGCTTCTACATCAGAGTTACCCTGATGTGCTAATGGTTGAAATAGATCATAGCCAAGTGTATAAGAAAATTATAAGATAAATATTCTCATATGGTTATGGACTCCCAGTAACATGGATTTACTCTGGCAGCAATGCTACATTAGCCTGGTTCAAAGACATATGAGTCATATTTTGCCAGACAGCTATGTAACATATTACTGCATGTATACAAACACTGAAAAGATCACATATATCCTATGACCTAATCCTCTTATTACTCATAACACATACAAGTAATCCAGACAAATATACCATTCCTCCTATTGGATCAGACAAGGCATTCATTCGTTGTAATGTGATTGTTATTTATAACTATGTTAATACATAGTTTGGGCATTGCTGTTATGATTTTTGGCCCTGACTGAGGATGTCTATCATCACATACTATGCTGTCCAGTCAGGTGGGCAGGTGTGCTCCACATCTAAACATATATGCTATATGACCATGACATGGGCCATAGTTCTACATATGTAAGCCCTGATTGAGGATGTCAAGACTGACTGCACCTCACGAACTTGTAGCCTAGGGTGGGAGATTTACATTTAGATTTAGATTAGGAATGTGATTATCTTGAGAAGCTTTACATCAGAGGTGTTACAGTGTTTGGTATTCCAGAAGCATATTATGTCAACGTTCCTCGGAGGGCAAACATCTCACCGAGGTGGTCTCCAAACATTGACATTATGGTCGGCCAACACTGACCAACAAAGGTCCACTCATACCATAAGTCTTTATTTCAGGTGATAAATGACAACAACAACAACAATAACAGTAGTAGTAGTAGTAGTAGTAGTAGTAATAGTAGTAGTAGTAGTAGTAGTAGTAGTAGTAGTAGTAGTTGTAGTAGTAATAATATTAATTAAAATTGCACTTTAAACAGACAAGAACAAGGGCAAAAGTGAGCGTGGCTCACTAATACCCCCGACCCGCCTAGTGTGTCAGTAGTTTCAAATTAAATAGCTAGGATAGGGTTAGGGTTTGAAAAATTCATAAAAAAAATGGAAAATTAATAAAAGCATTTTTTTCTTTTGACTGCACCCCTCCATATGACACAGACTATATGTACTAAGTTTGAGATGAATCCACTGAATAGTTTAAGAGAAAAGAGAAAAGGTCGGGGGTATAATAACTGCTCAAAGTGCAACAAGGAAGAATAAGGAAACAAAATTCATGTAAAATTACGCATCGAAATACTGAGTTTGCAAAATGTTAAAAGGAGAGAGAAATGAGATTATAAACACTGTTATAGCAGCTAGCACACAGGTAGGATTTGTGGTTAGCTCTGTAAGAGTTTCAGCTTGAAGAGGGATGGCGTTCCAGCCAAATGTTTTGAGTCTGTAGGATGGATCTGAGAGAAGATTGTTTCACTTGAGAGAAGTTGATGATTTGGCGCAAATGGAGCAAGCAGTAACTGTTCATAGATTGACATCATGAGCATCGATCCACGCAATTGCGATACGATGACATGCATCAATCAAGTCAGCGAGTCTGACCACCTGATCCCGTTAGTCGCCTCGTACAACAAGCATAGTCGCCTTTTAAGGCAAGCATGGGTTGCTGAAGACCTATTCTACCCTGTATATTCATGAGTGAGTGCGTATGGTTTTATTCTGCTTTTAGCAATGTTCAAGCAATATCACACCGGAGGACACCAGAAATGGGCTTCACACAGTGTTTCCATGTGGTGAATAAAACCTGGAATATTTGCGTGACAAGTGAACTCCGTAAGCAATAGGCTACCCCACCCCCAAGCTGAGAGAGGTGATCAGTGCTGGTTTGATGGAGACATAGGATTCAGGTGATAACTTTTCCAAATGTCCTACTCACCTAAATCTGAAATCTTTAGGCAGGGAGAAGCCCTGAAGTGAGTCTAGCCTTGATTTCATGATCTGCTTCTTGAAGTCCTTTCTGCTGGTGTTGCCATAGCCATTGAAGATGTGATCACAGAACAGGAGGCGGCCATCAGCATAGATCTGTAAACAAAAAAAAGTTTTTTCAGTTGCTTTCTTCTATGAATCTGAATGGTGCATAGTGTTTTAGTTGTTTCACATTAAAATCAACAATATCCCAGCCATATCTTGAAGGCCTGTAAAAAGTCAGGGCCAGACAGACCAGTGGTTGATATTAGGAGTACCGCACCATCAGGGTACGATGTCACAGCATGTCCACCAGTTTAGTTTCCTCTTCAGACAAGTAAAAGAGGTTTGGGGAGCTCTTCCAACTGGGATCCCATGAGAAGAATTTGAAGAGACAGTGACTTCTGACACTAACAGTTTGTAATGAAACATTCCAGGACCTAACCCCAGTACCTACCAGAAACATTCTTGCTACACTACATCAAAGACAATCCCAGGACCTATCACCAGTACCTACCAGAAACATTCTTGCTACACTACATCAAAGACAATCCCAGGACCTAACCCCAGTACCTACCAGAAACATTCTTGCTACACTACATCAAAGACAATCCCAGGACCTATCACCAGTACCTACCAGAAACACTCTTTCTACACTACATCAAAGACAATCCCAGGACCTATCACCAGTACCTACCAGAAACATTCTTTCTACACTACATCAAAGACAATTCCAGGACCTATCACCAGTACCTACCAGGAACATTCTTGCTACACTACATCAAAGACAATCCCAGGACCTATCACCAGTACCTACCAGGAACATTCTTGCAACACTACATCAAAGACAATCCCAGGACCTTACACCAGTACCTACAAGAAACATTCTTGCAACACTACATCAAAGACAATCCCAGGACCTAACCCCAGTACCTACCAGGAACATTCTTGCAACACTACATCAAAGACAATCCCAGGACCTATCACCAGTACCTACAAGAAACATTCTTGCAACACTACATCAAAGACAATTCCAGGACCTATCACCAGTACCTACCAGAAACATTCTTGCTACACTACATCAAAGACAATTCCAGGACCTATCCCCACTACCTACTAGAAACATTCTTGCTACACTACATCAAAGACAATCCCAGGACCTAACCCCACTACCTACCAGAAACATTCTTGCTACACTACATCAAAGACAATTCCAGGACCTATCACCAGTACCTACCAGAAACATTCTTGCCATCCCTACATCAAAGACAATATCAGAACCTATCCCCAGTACCTACTAGAAACATTCTTGCCACCCCTACATCAAAGACAATATCAGGACCTATCCCCAGTACCTAACAGAAACATTCTTGCCACCCCTACATCAAAGACAATTCCAGGACCTATCCCCAGTACCTACCAGAAACATTCTTGCCACCCCTACATCAAAGACAATTCCAGGACCTATCCCCAGTACCTACTAGGAACATTCTTGCCACCCCTACATCAAAGACAATATCAGGACCTACCAGGAACACTCTTGCCACCCCTACAACAAAGACAATTCCAGTACCTACCAGGAACATTCCTGGAACCACGTTGTGCCTGGTGAGGAGTAGGGGCTGAGTGTGGTCAGACATGTCTGCTGCTGTGTTGATATCGTACTTGAATATCCTGTACGTGTCGCCTCGACACTGGGTGCACGGGCGTGTCCGGTTCCTGTTCATGTTGTTGTACAGATGGTTCAACATGTCCTCAGCCCCTGTAGCATGGGGGTAGCTGCCGGGGTGGAAGGGGAAGGTTAGCACCAGGGAAAGAGAATTATCAGGCGTTGCTAATTAATGAAACTACCCAGCTCATAGAAACACATGACATTGTATCCTTCAGGTAAAAACAGGTGATAACAATTAAACTTGGTCAATACAAATTTGAAATTTGAAATAAAACATCAATAGACATGAAGATTTACCATTTAAATTGTTTTTTCCTGTTCTGCTAGGCATTTTTTATATGAGATTAAGATTACTGTGAGTATTTTCTCGTAAACTAACCCGGAAATAGCAATCAGGTGCCCACGTTTTCTCCCAATCTACCGGTGATTCTATTAAAAATTACTTTATAATAAAACTTTAAAGAATTTTGATACAATGAATTGTTTATGATACTATTATTTTATCAGGAATAATATGTTCAAATATCATGTTATTTTAGTTGCAGCTTTACTACATATATTTGAAATAATTAATAACCATAAGCGTAGCACTTTGGCACAGATGATCGCTATTGCCGTATATTTTTTACGTATGGAACAATTTGACCAATCACTGTTGATGCTCCTGTGCTCACAATGGCGAATACTTTATGTTGACATAATGGACAAAACTACCACAAATATGACTTTCAACGAGTCAAAGTATGGTATTTATGATATATACATGTCCATTCTTTGTCCACTAAAATTCGTTTCAAGGCATCAATAGCGGTAATCTGACCATGGTTGCTGTCAATAACGGTGAGTTGTGTGATCTACTGATCACTTCGCACATGATTTGGCCAAATCGATATTGAACAAATTTTGAATGAAATTAATAAAATAGGTTACTAACATTAATCCAGATATACAATGAACACATTTTATAACCAGACTGTGTAATTACATGATTAATTTGTGTACTTGAGAACAGATTTGTTGACATGGAATTTCTGGTGTTACATGCTCTTTGTGTTGGGGGGAAAAACATCAAAACTCTTCTAACCTGTGTACAGGGCGACCCCGTTGAAACTCCATTAATTCAAGGAACAAATAACTTGCCTTACAGACGGCAAAATAAAGGTAATTACAAACCCCAGACAGGTTCAATGACTCAAAAAACATGTCTGCCATGAATGTGCTTGTTCATCCATCAAGCTCCTCACAGCGATAGCCCATTCGCAGAGCTCTCTATACCATCGCTGCCACCAGTCAAAACTCCCCACTGTGAATAGGTGGCCACAACCATGCTTGGAGTTGAACTCGCAACCGAATGACCGTTATGTTTACAAACAAGTGACGACTGTCGTGACGCCGAATACACTTATTGCTGCTAAATTACTTTCTTCGTTTGTCAATTTGAATTTCTGTTTCATTAAAACTATTATTGTGTTATTGATATAGTAAGAATGTAAGGGAGAAGTTGGTTGATTTTCCGTTAGTCTGCAATCTCGAACCAATCTGATTATCAAAACCTCAAAATAAATTCATCTGGAAAACATGGTGAGTCGTAAACCTTTTCAAATTGAAATATGATGGCATTCCCAAAGACATAAACAAAAGTATAAACGTTACTACATATGGGGTTGGAGGGCATATTTCAAGATTCTTGTAATGGCCGCGCCCACACTGGTGTCAGCGATGTTACCGAGAGTGTAACGCAGGTGTCACGCGCTGGGAAGGAGCTTGGTTCATCCATGTTGATAGGGAGGTTACTCTCATAACACACATTACAACTTAATAATCCATTTATTCAGACTGCTGGAATGGCACACTGAGCCAATTTTCAGAACAGAAACAAAACAGGATTGTCCTTCTTACCCTGAAACATCTCCCACAATGTTTTTCCAAAATTCATACCCAAGGATAAAAATAGTCTTAACCATATGTAAGTCTCAAACAATTATTAGCATCACTTACAGAGAGGACACAGCACACACAATCTGGAGCTGGGATGGTGGGGCCTCCCTGAGGATGAACTCGTCAAACTCGATGTCAGTGATGTTGGGCATGGCGTAACGGTTACATCGACACTGACTCTTCACCCCCGTCATGGCAAACTGTCTGACAGCCAGGGGACACGTGCTGTGGTACAAGGTGGCAGAACGGATGCGTTCCGGCAGGGACATGTTGGTGTTCTGTCGGGTGGGAGACTTACAATGACCGAGAGCTGACTGGGCTCTGGAACCAACTCTGTGAAGAAGAATGGTGGAGAAATAAAATGGCTGGCACAATAACAGTAGGATTCATGTTGCAGTTCAACAATACCATTAACAAAAACAACAATAATAATAATCGTCCATTTATAATGCATCAGACTCTCTCTAAGTGAATGTTCACAACGCTACACAATTATTACCCTTGTCTATGGATCATTCTCAGCTCACACACCAACAACCCAGGTTCCATTCCAAATGTTTACTAACTCTGACAGCAATGTTTACTAACTCTGACAGCAATGTTTACTAACTCTGACTGCAATGTTTACTAACTCTGACAGCAATGTTTACTAACTCTGACATCAATGTTTACTAACTCCGACAGCAATGTTTACTAACTCCGACAGCAATGTTTACTAACTCCGACAGCAATGTTTACTAACTCTGACATCAATGTTTACTAACTCCGACATCAATGTTTACTAACTCTGACAGCAATGTTCACTAACTCTGACTGCAATGTTTACTAACTCTGACAGCAATGTTTACTAACTCTGACATCAATGTTCACTAACTCTGACAGCAATGTTTACTAACTCTGACAGCAATGTTCACAAACTCTGACCGCAATGTTTACTAACTCTGACAGCAATGTTTACTAACTCTGACAGCAATGTTCACTAACTCTGACAGCAATGTTTACTAACTCTGACTGCAATGTTTACTAACTCTGACTGCAATGTTTACTAACTCTGACACCAATGTTTACTAACTTTGACATCAATGTTCACTAACTCTGACATCAATGTTTACTAACTCTGACAGCAATGTTTACTAACTCTGACAGCAATGTTCACTAACTCTGACTGCAATGTTTACTAACTCTGACACCAATGTTTACTAACTCTGACATCAATGTTTACTAACTCTGACAGCAATGTTCACTAACTCTGACAGCAATGTTTACTAACTCTGACTGCAATGTTTACTAACTCTGACATCAATGTTTACTAACTCTGACCGCAATGTTTACTAACTCTGACATCAATGTTTACTAACTCTGACAGCAATGTTTACTAACTCTGACTTCAATGTTAAGTAACCCTGACTTCAATGTCTACTAACTGACTTCAATGTTTACTAACTCTGACTTCAAAGTTTACTAACTCTGACAGCAATGTTTACTAACTCTGACTTCAAAGTTTACTAACTCTGACAGTCTTCTCATGACAGATACAGCAGTAGGAGACACTGTCCTTTCATCTCCCTGTCCATATGTGAACATCTCTGACTTCTCTTCAAACTTAACCATAGACGACCGATTAGGTGATGGCTGACGACTCTCGGCCATTGATGAATCTCTCTTCTGATTCCCTGAAATAATATGTTATTATTAGACCTAAGAAACTACTGTTTGTCGTAAGACAAGCAAACTAACTTGGAGTGGGTGCTCAATGTTCAGGCTCCATGAATGTCAAAGTATCCCAGTTGTGTAGACCGATGCTCATGATGTCAGTCACTAGATTGTCTGTTCCAGACTCAATTATTCACAGACAGGTGTCATATACCTGGTATATTGCTGACTTCACCGTAAACAACAAACTAACATATTATCTTCATAATAAATAAAATTGACAATACCCTTTCCATATTCAAGTCAATCTCATTAAAATCAGATCTTAGTTCTCATATCCAAAGATCTGAGGATATCCCATTACTTGTCACATAAGAACCACCTTCCGAGCGTAGCTTACCAGATCGGGAAAATGAAAGTAAAGTCATAATGTGTTTTCTAATCATGCAAACTTGGAAACATAAACACGGGGTATTCGGAATGAAACTTATTGGCTGTATGACTGATTCCTTCAAAATCATTGTCTATATCTCTCTTCAATGCGATGAACATTTGAAACGGAAGAGACATTCAGTGCCATGGGAAGTACTACCATTGAATCTCGGCCATCTATACGGCATTCCTGAAAACTGTTTTGTACAGCTTTCAGATTGTGTGAGTGTGCATGTGTGAGTATGGTTTTACGCCTTTTTTAGCAATATTCCAGCACCAGAAATGGGCTTCACACATTGTACCCATGTCGGGAATCGAACCTGGGTCTTCGGCGTGATGAGCGAACGCTTTAACCACTAGTCTACCCGAAAGCCCCTTTCAGATTGTGAATCGAGAACTTTGTCACAATATTTTTGAAAGCATAGTCTGGAAGCATAGTCTGGAAACTAGTGCTGTAAAGCTTCAGAAAGCTGCTTTCTTGTTCGCTAATGACGACTTCATGTAAGTCATTTTACTGGTTGGTCAAAGTTTGTGGAAGGTCATTCTGATGTGACCTGTAATGGGATGTCCTCAGATCTTTGCTTAGCAGTAGCGAGCACTAAGATCTGATTCTAATGAGGTTGATCTTAAGTATACAGACTGATTGCAGAATTTCTGCAGAAGCAGTAGTTGCACTACCCATGTAGCCTTGAGCAACATACCAGTGACCCACATAATCACTACCACACTGGTCCCATACCATACCCAAGGAACTCCATAGCAACAAGTGAATGCGAGAGTGAGAGAGTGTGCGTGTGAATAAAGTTTAATATTTATAATAATTGTTACACCAAAAAATTGAAAACTGATCTTCCTCTGTACAAGATGCTGATCTAATCATGCATATGCTGAAGTTGATGGAAGCGTTATCTTTTTACTCAAACATAAAGAATTCGAAAGGAATGTGTGAGCAGTCCAAAAGAAATGTGAACATTAGCAACTTGAAGTGCTCATGGATTTCTAAGAGGGAGAATATATCCCTTTAAAACCCACTTTGAAGTAAAAAGACTCACCCTTTTTCTGAGTCAATGAAAGTCACATGACATAGCGCAAGTGAACCTCGGATCAATTTAACAGCTGTTTTCTATTAATTTTGAATTTGTTTTAACTCTTTCACAATGTCATATTAAAACACGTCGGTAAGACGGCTCATGGTATAAAACATAACGAGGATTGCATAAAATCACATGTACCCCTCGTGATACTGCTACTAATGGTATGCCTAGTGGTTTCAAGAATGAATCATTTTTACAATAAGCAGTTTATTTTATTTTTACACTCAGCAGTATTTCATCGTCAATTTATGTTAAACTTGAATTCAGAGTTTTGTTACTCAGTCAAACCCGATCAGAACTTTGTAATCAGTCCTAATCTCCCATTACCTGCAGGAGCGGATGGGGCTCTCAGTGTCCGGAATACATTACTTGTGTCCGGCGACCTGGACACTAACCCTCTCCTGGTGCTGCCGACAACGTCCCCGGCTAGTCGAGCCGACTGGGCGTATCGGCGCCGTACAGATGGCATGTCTTGAAGGGAGTTGAGTGTGGGTGTGCACATCTCCAGTGCTAGACGGTAGTGCTCCAGCCAGTCATCTACTAAGTTTCTGTGAGGGCAAAACGCAAACAGTGCAAAAAATGTGAATGACAAATTTTTGAGACTGTGATACGTGATTCATGCTTTCAAAAAACGCAGTCGATTGAAATAATGTAAAGAACTTAAATATGACTGGATGCAGACAAAATATGAAAATTGGTACCATAGTAAAACAAATTTAAATGCTTAAGAATATTAATCATATATTGGAGATCCAATATTGTCTCTTTGGGATATATGGAATGAAATTCAAACATCTATAGCAAAACATCTATAGAACACACAAATTGAAGAAAATGGAAGAGGAAATTGTTTCTGATGCATATTGTAACTCAATATATGGTTTGTGAACACCTCAAAATGCAAAGGATCACATATAACTGTGAATTTGTGAAAAACGCTTTCCTTGAAAGCAGCCATGCAGCCCATCCCTCCATCTGTATGCTCCCGTCCACCTTACCTTGCCTTCCTCTGGAGCCGGGCTAGCTCCTTGTCAGCCTCCGTATCATACTGGATCTGGTCCTGGACCTCCATCATCTTCTGGAGCTCAGCGAGTTGACCCTTGTACTTATCCTGGAGCCACAACATTCACATCACTGATGGAACAATAGTTTTAACAAACACCCCTTGATCATACAGAATTAATTGATATCATGAAACAGTGATGAAAACAAACACAACAGTGTTATTGTGCAATACACTTCATGTGACACACAAGTCATGGGATCTTAACATAAAGACACCCATTAACAATGATGTAGTGATAATGTAGGGATAATGTGATAAACAGAACTATTCCTAGCATTAGACTTAAAAAAGTAAAAGAATTGGTTCTTAGGCAATGGCTTTTTCGAAAACAGAGTGGGTGGGTGGTGGTTTTTTAGCTTGTTCAAACTAGTATATAACCTAATAAATAGTTGTTTACCATCAACCTGGGAAAGGGCCTCCCTACATCAACAAGCATATCAACTCCTATTGCCGCCATGACCATAACACGAGATGCGCAGTAATGCAGTGTGCATGGAAAGGCAAGTATCCATGTGCCATGTGCATTGTTTTTAAGCATTATAATATTTTTAATTTTTTTGAAAATGGAAATTAAATCGAAACGTGCAGCAGACTTTATGATGATGTGGGCGGTGCCTAAGAACCAAGACTATTATTTTTGTTAGCCATATGTTCAATACAGTGAGGCTTGTAGTTCATTTTAACACTATTTGCAGTGAATATCAGAATGGTTTAACCATGAACAATACATGTACAGACTTAATCACTCACTAGCATTTAACCTAGACAATATCCGAAAACAAAAGGGAATATCTATATTTGACATTCTATGTTCAAGTGAAGTTTGTTTGTGGTATAAAACCACACTCAGCAATATTCCTTCAATATTGAGGTTGCAAATAATCAAGTCTTGACCAGATAATCCAGGGATTGACATCATAAGTATTGATCTATGCAAGTGGGATACAATGATAAGTCAGCAAGCCTGACCACCCGGTCCCAGTTATTCGCCTCTTGCGACAAGCCTGGATTGCTGAAGACTGTTTCTGTCCCAGATCTATGAGTAAAAGATCAGATATTTTTGCAATTATTTTTTTTACATTTATGAGCTATTTTGTCACTTTGTACTTTTATACATTTTACTTTAAAAAGAGGAACCAGACACCAAATATGTCATGTGCGCATTTATTTCCTTATGGTTTTCATAGTGATAAAAATGCCTCCAAAAGAGAAAGAAATAAGCTTTCTCATAAAGTCTGTTTCAGAGAGTGGGAGCCTAGTGGTTAAAGCGTTTGCTCGTCATGCTGAAGACCCGGGTTCGATTCCAGACATGGGTACAATGTGTGAAGCCCATTGCTGGTGTTCCCCAATGTGATATTGCTGGAATATTGCTAAAAGCGGCGTAAAACTATACTCACTCACGTGATATGTCTATGCTAATCTTCACGTCTGATATTTCGTGTACAGTGTTTGTTCTAAAGATTGATTAAAGTGTGAAGTGGTGAAAATTGATTAGTTTAGTCTTGTGTTCCAGATATGCAAAAAAACTGTTAGTGTCACCTTTTTCTTTGATTTTGATTTTGTTTTAGTCTTTGGTGCAAAAAGTCTGAGTAGTTCTTTGGCAGCTCGTGATGAGAAGGTGAAAGTTGTTAGTAGCTGCTCCTGAAAACATACATTGCATACATTAAACATGTACAGGGTGGCTGACGTCAACACAGAGAAAGATAAGCAGGGAAATAAACATTTAATGTGCATACATTCATTCATGACGGTGCTGTAAGACTTAAGAATATATACATCAGCAACGTTTTTGATGTTGATAAGGATGAAGAATGTTACTTAATGCTGCAGTATGACAGCAATATTTCAGCTGTATCACTGCGGTTTCAAATAATCTAGTTTGGCCCATAAAACCAGAGGCTGACTGTATGAGCATCGGGGTATGCTGACACAACAGCAGCCAGATCACATACTGTGACCACCTGATCCTCAGGCTAAAAGGCTCTGATGATGATGAGGAGGAGGAGGAGGAGGAGAAGGAGGAGGAGGAGGGGGATGAGGAGGAGGGGGAGGAGGAGGAGGAAGGGGAGGAGGAGGAGGAGGAGGAGGAGGGGGATGAGGAGGAGGGGGAGGAGGAGGAGGAAGGGGAGGAGGAGGAGGAGGAGGAGGGGGATGAGGAGGAGGGGGAGAAGGAGGAGGAGGAGGAGGAGGAAGGGGAGGAGGAGGAGGAGGAGGAGGGGGATGAGGAGGAGGGGGAGAAGGAGGAGGAAGGGGAGGAGGAGGAGGAGGAGGAGGAGGAGGGGGAGGAGGAGGAGGAGAAGGAGGAGGAGGAGGGGGATGAGGAGGAGGGGGAGGAGGAGGAGGGGGAGGAGGGGGAGGAGGTGATGAAGGATGAGGGGAAGGATAAGGTCATTGACAATTATGCTGATGATAATGATGGTGCTGCTGCTGCTGATGATGATTATAATATATCCATCATTATTGATAAAGAACAAAGAATTTGCACATTTATTCCCAATTCTTTTTTATTCCTTATAGAAATATATTCTAAAAACTTCATAAAATGAACATGTTTGATCCCCTTACATTTTCATCTCCTTGTCGTGGCTCGACTGCTCCGGGCACAGGCCCCACCGGGAACTTAGCACTCTCCTTCATACAGTTGAAGTGTAGCACCATGGAGCTCTGGCTCACGCAGCGGAATGTCAGGAAACTGTTTATCTAGAACACATTCATAAACACATCAACAACAATTATTTATGAAAAAATTGCTGAAAAAAGGTAGCAGCAGACGTAGTTGTGGACACCAGACAGCAATATTGCTGTATCACAGAATCTGTAGATAATTTTGGGCCCAGACAAACCAGTCCAGGAAAGTATGGGCCTGACCAAAGGTTCCACTTTAGTCAACTGTTGCGACAAGCATGGGTTACAGGGGTCCAGTTCTATCCTTCCATCTCCACGAGGAGGAAAGCATGAGTCAAGGACGACAGATAAGGTTTTCTGCAGTGAACATTCCAACATATTGCTGTGTTTGCCTCTGTGGTCTAGTGGAAAGAGCATCTGCTCAGGAGAGGAAGGTTTGTTGTTCAATCCCCAGCCGCATCATACCAAAAGATGTTAAATGATGGTACTTGTTGTTACCCTGCCTGATGCTCAGTTTTAGGTGATACAACAAGGACTGGTTGGCTCGGAGTCAGTATACTGTGTCTGAGTGGGGTATCCATCTTAAACTGTGGCATGGTATCTCAGTGGGCTAGCACTATAAAACAGGACTAGTACAAGAAGCCACACACAAGTGTATATATATATAAGGGCAATAATCTTGAACACGATGCTAAACATGGCTTTTGAGAAACTGATCATACCAGCGTGACAGTGTCAATAGGGATTCTGCCGTACACCAGTTCGACAAAGTCATCTTCGCAGCCAAACTAAGAAAGAAGACTTTGGAGAAAAGTCCAAGGCAGAATCCCCATGCTCACAGTCATACACACATCACATATCAGAACACTACAGTGATATGACTCTCATAAGTCCACGTTAGAGGTAAGTTCACTTAGCTAAGTTCGCCTTAGACCATAAACTAACATCGCTTAGGAGATCTATTGAATTGATGAAGTTCAGATTTAACAACACTTCTTAGTACAAAGTCCTTCAATAAACTTACCGCATTCGACATAATATGCGCCCAGGGCGCTCTCAAAATTAGAAATAGGGGGCTCTTATTAGAACATTATTTTGGTGAAAAACAACAGAGTTGAAAGATCGTAAATTCCGTGGTTTATGCTGACAGCCTAAAATGTTTATATATGACAGATATATTTTTCCAGAATTTAATTTCCCATAATTAAGGATGCATATAAGACACATATTATACAAGAAGAAATAAGTCTTGATCAAACGGAAGGGGTGCTAACTGGGATTGTTCACCAGCCAATATATTAGCAAATATTGCCATGGGCGCTTATTACGTCGCATACGGTATTATAAATGACAGATAAACTTCCAGCAAGACATCTTACCTGGAAACTGACTGGTGATGTTATTTTCACATTTCCATGTGGCCACTTCCATTTTTGGGAGACTGTTCCATCATCTTCTGCTAAATGGCCTCCCTTCTCCGTTGCTAAAAACCTGCAGCACACAGTCAGACACATAACACGAGTGAATGGGTTTAACAGTGCTTTGAGCAATATTGCAGTTATGTACACCAGCTTGATGTAGGAGGAAAGCCCAAAGTGATGCAGGCCTCAGATGTTTACCCATGTGAAACCCACGAACACGACCACCTAGAAACAAAACCCACGATCAAGGTTCCTGGTTTGCCTAAGGGCAGCAACTCTGCACAGCATTTTACGGTGCCTTAGGTGACTTGACCACTTGTGCTTCTAATACATGGAAGAGGTATGGGGGTGAAATATCACATATAAACACAATATTAACAGAAATTATAAAAAGTTTTTAACATGTTTAAAAGGAAACTGTACTGTATGGAATATTTTATATTTTCATCTAATTTCCTGTATATACATACTAATAAGGACTTCAATATAAACTGTTTTATCGAGTGGAATGTCTTGTATCTGGTGGCAAGAAATCACTGATTTATGTAGTATCGTCAATACTTCATGGGTTTGTATAATATTTCTCTATCAGCTGTGAATATATATGTCAGATTAGGGCTGAGACGAGTCCAAATTTACTACCTGGGTACCCACCTCCCTATTAACCAACCTTACCCGAGTACCCACTGTAGGTCCCAAGAGATAGGTCCAAATGCCCGATTGGGAATAGTTTGACCGTAGCCCTGAGCAAAATACTTGTATAAAACGATCTTGTCATGCATACACTGACGTTGACGGAAATTTTATCTTTATTCAAACACCTCATCATAAAGTTCATTGCATGTTTCGTTTTTGCTTCCATTTTCAATTTTGTTTGTGCATTGTGTTTAAGTATTAGGATTTGTATATTCTTTTGCAAATGGAAATAAAAACAAAACGTGCAGTAGACTTTATGATGATGCGGGTAGTGCCTGAGAACCAAGACTATTATTTTTTTTAGCCTTAAGTCAAGTAATGAAATGGAGCCATATTTAACTCATCAGTCTGCAACTTCCTCCACCAGTCTAAAGCCACAGTGAAGTAAAATTTGGTTCGGTCTGGTCAGTTCAGCTAAATATTGTCCATATGACAACACTGAAATCTACTGAAAAGGATGCGAAGGGCCATGTAGAAGTTTTTGATACAGACTGCTCATGGTCGTCAAATTAAACCTTCTTGCATGACATAACTGCAAACTAGGGCTGTGTATTGGCAAAAAAACTGTATTGCTAAAGCGTTTGACACCGATTGTATATGCAGATCCTATTTCCTACACACTAAAGTTATTACGCAGCATAATTAGTCACCACCATTTGTTTGTCATGGATACACAGAGATAAAATTCTTCCAAGTTTCTGCCATTTTGTGAATGAATTTTGAAGGGAAACATTTGTGAATGAATTTCTGTGAAACTTTAAGGTCAAATGATACATGTAATACCGAAACTTGTTATATATTTGTTTTACCAAATATACTGAAAACAGAAAATATTTTGCAATGTGTATCGTTTGAAAAGCGTATTGCAGAATACATTCTCTTCTTACGTCACAATAAGTGAGTGAGTGAGTTGGGTTTAACTCTGCTTTTAACAGCATTCCAGTTATATTGCGGCGTGTCGGCTTAATGTTAGAGGAAAGCCTGAAGTGATGCAGGTCTCAGACGTTTACCACTTCGGTCAAACCCACAAGCACGGGTATGGTGCTGACAAACCTAGAAACATAATCAGGGCGAACCAGGATTCGAACCCATAATCATAGGTTTCTGGCATGCCCAAGGGACGCAACTCTGCACAGCGAATTGTGGTGCCTTAGACGACTGGGCCGCCCGTGCCCCCGTGTCACAATAAGATTCAAATGACGTCAACAATGTCATCCGGATAATGTAAACAATACACTGGCGCACATTAAGTGATATTTGCACTAGTGCACATACAATTTTTATGAACTCGGTTATTTCTAACGTTATTGTAATAAATTCAAGTATGATGGCAAAGGCGTACTCACTTGACTACACCATTGGGATGATAACAGCACCCTTTCCCAACCGGTGTGAAACAGGCCAGCATCTTCATGTCCAGGTCATCAGTGTAGGCTATGGTGTAGTAGCCTGGCCGGCCGTACCCGGCCCCACTGCTCACCACTGCTGGACGGCCTGATGGGTAGCTGGACAATGGTCAAGGAAGTGTATTGTTTATATCTGTTGCAATCAGAATTACCTTGCCACATCTGTTTGTTTGTTCGTTGTTTAATGCCACAAGCAATATTCAAGCTATCATCGGTCTGTAAATAATCGAGTCTGGACCAGACAATACAGTTTTCGACATCATGAGAATCAATCTGTAAAAGTACCATTTCATGAAAGCATTTTGTCCATATGTGCAAGGTTGGATTTAAATTTTCTAGAACAGAATAATATGTGATCTATTTCTATCCCTAGTTCCTACTTACAGGTGTTCGTACAACTGCAAAGTGTTTAATTCAAGTCTAAATACACCTACCTCCTTTTGTTGGTTTTTGGTTTGGTTTGTTGTTTAACGCCGCACTCAGCAATATTCCAGCTATATGATGGCGGTCTGTAAATAATCAAGTCTGGACCATACAATCCAGTGATTAATATCATGAGCATCGATCCACGTAAATGGGATCGATGACATGCATCAACCAAGTCAGCGAGCCTGACCTCCCGATCCCATAAGTCGCCTTTTACGACAATAGAGTCACCTTTTATGGCAAGCATTGGTTGCTGAAGACCTATTCTACCCCGGATCTTCACGGGTCCGACACACACTAATTGTGCACACACAGAAATTCCTAGGTCTGCTTAGTGATACCCTATCAAATGTGCAGCAAATGTGACGTGTGTTGCAAGCTCTCCTCGGACACACAGGTTCCTGGCTGGTATTTGAGCCTCATCACATTAATGATGTGCATAGATTCTATTCTGAGTCTATTTCAGTAAATCAATTTTGAGCAGTTAACTTTCTCTTGATTTCACAAATGCTTAATGCCCTGACAGTCTAAAATGTTTTGTATCATTTGAGATGAAAGCTATCTTGCATCTTTCAATGTTGAGCATCCACTATATCCCAGGGGCTCGCATTTTGGAAAACCTACACTTACCCCTTGACCCATTCCCAAATTACCCGCCCTTGATTTTTATTTACATTTTACCAAAAATCACGCGTCGACATAAGGCTTAAAAAAATAAAAGAATTTGTTCTCAGGCAATGACTTTTGAAAATAAATATAAAATAATGATGATAATATTTTTGCTTGTTCTACCTAGAACGTAACCAAATAAATAGTTGTGTTCCATCAACCTGGGAAAGGGCCTCCCTACAGAAACAAGCATACCAACTCCTATTGCCGCCATGACTATAACAGAAGATGCGCAGTGTGCATTAAAAGGGAAGTAACTGCATGCTATATTGGATTGCATTTTGGATAATTTAAAAAAAAAATGTAAATGTAAATAAAAACAAAACGTGCGGCAGACTTTATGATGATGCGGGCGGTGCCTGAGAACCAAGACTAGTATGTTTTTTAGCCTGAAGGAGAGGGTAAGGGTAAGGGAGGTAACTCGTATTGCCTAGAAACCAAAACCCACTGCCAGTTTTTATGGACATGAAGACATCCTTTCCATCCAAAAGATGTTTTAGGGCTTTCTTTTGAATGTCAGTCAGTTTTTCAATATTGAATTTCTTACAAACTCAATCATAATCAATTGGACTGGCCGCCATGTTGTTGATATTGCCAACCCAACATTGAGGCTGGTTTGTAACTCACATTCTGATTGGTCCATTTAACCAAGTAGCACAGCCAATCATATTTGGCAAATGGAAATCAAGGGCGGGTAATTTGAGATTGCAAAAACCACAGGTCAGTAATGAATCCAGGCGTTAGTGTAGGTTTACCCAAATGCAAGCCCTGGAGATATAGAGGATGAATGTTGAGATAAATTGGAAAATGAATACAAATGAAGCTCCCTACAGATTATAACTAAATTCTGACAATTACTTTTCACAATTTCCATAAGGAAGAGAATATATGGATGTCAACTTCTTTATTATGGGGAACACAACGTTTCGGAGTATATGCTTACTCTTTCATTAGGTGAATGATGAAGGAGTAAGCATATACTCCGAAACGTTGTGTTCCTCATAATTAAGAAGTTGACATCCATATATTCTCTTCCTTATGTATATCACTTCTAAATGCCTCTTAAAGACCCAATTTCCATGTTTACAAACACATAGTACACTGTATGTCTGTCCAGACAATATAAGTTCAGGATCCTGAACTATGCTGAGAAATTGTTTTGAATTTGTTGTTCTCAAGCAAGGATACTACGCGACTGTTGTGCCGTCCACGTGTGAAGTCAGCATGAGTTGTTTCCCCTCGTTGCGATCGTCATACATGTGAGGTATCCGTGGTTTCTGGCCTCTCACTGCTGGGTTGATTGAAGGCTTTACTGGCGATTTTCGGTATTTTAACAAAGTTTCTTTTCTAGTGTCACCATAGTAACGAACTTGAGCAGGTTTGTCAAAACCAATTTCTATTTCTTGTGCATACTGTTCTCGTCTGTGAAAATAAGGCAGGACATACTTTAGAAGTATAAAGCTACATTTCGCTGCACTGTTCGATGTTCAAAATTAAGCAAGAAAGTCTAGCAATCTCATTAAAATCAGATCTTAGTTCTCGCTGCCGCTAAACAAAGATCTGAGGACATCCCATTACGGGTCACGTCAGAACGACCTTTCGCAAACTTTGACCGACCACTGAAATGACTAAGAAGAAGTCGACATCAGCCAATTAAAAGCAGCTTTCTCCAGCTTCACTGCACTCGTTTCAACCTGTTGACTTCATTTCAGACTACGCTTGTAAAATATGTTGACACCTTTCTCGATTAAAATTTTGAAAAGTGAAAAAACGAACATTCCGGAATGTCTAATATATGGTTTAGATTGTCTGGCAGTGCTTCCCGCTTACTGTGAAACGCCTCCTCCGTTCAAATGGTTATGCCACGGAAGCGAGAGATAGACGATAATTTTGACGGAATCAGCCGTACGGGCATAACTGTCGTTTGGAATACCCTGTGTTAACGTTTTCGAGGTTGCATGATTAGAAAACACATTCCGACTGTCACTTTCACGATCTGGTAAGCGACGCTTTGATTGGTCGGAAGAAAGGTCGTTCTGACGTGACCCGTAATGGGATGTCTTCAGATCTTTGTTTAGCGATAGCGAGAACTAAGATCTGATTTTAATGAGATTGGAAAGTCTAGGGTCCCTATTACAATTCTAATATTAAAAGTTTTCAGTTTAAGGGTCCCTAGATTAAAATAGAAGCAAACCTCAAGTAGCCCAGAAGACTTTAATTTCGAACACTTCTTTTGTACTCAACCAACATGAAGTAAAAACATGTACATAACAGGTGCTATATGTATCACAGAGGGAAACGACAATGTAGATCAATTCACTGAGGCAAAGTAAATACTTTCCAGTGATGGCCCTAAGATTCTATGAACAGCCCACACATTTGCAAAAAAGTGAGGTATATGAATCCCCATTTTAACAAATCTAGAACAACACTAAATATGTAAAGGTTGAATACATAGTTTGATAGAACAAGGAAAATTCTTTCTAAAAACTAATTAAAAAACATTTTCATTTTTCATCATTATGTTTTTAAACACAAATACATGATCAGACTGAATATGAGAAAACTGTCATACAGTGTCAGTTTTGATGATATTTTCAGATCCATTGATGGGCCTGAAAATTTGCCAGAATAAGGGGGTTTAAAATTTGCCAGAATAATGGCTCTCAAAATTTGCCAGAATTACGGTCCATCCAAACAAATCATGGTCCATTACCAAAAACAAAAAAGATTTGCTAATACTTGAATAATGTCTTGAAGAGACTGTTGTCATATTTGAATTGCTCATACAGAATAATAATTTAAAAAAAATACAGAATAATAATTTAAAAAAACAAACAGAATAATATGCCCATGCAGAAATAATATCCAGTGCGTGTTTTTTTTGCACTGATCAAATCCCATTATGGAATCAGTTCTGCATGCAAAGATGACAATTATAATTGATACATTGTGCATCATATCATTGAATTTATATCATATAACTGTGAATTGGTGAAGGAGTACCCGGTATAGTCTTACTGCAAGGCTTGCTTGTAAGGACTGCCCGTTACAGTGTAATGTACTCACGTGATCTTCATGCAGTGTTGTAGAATCTGAACACACCACTCCAGCAGCGTCTCCCTCGCTATCTCGTCCTCCTTCCCCTTCTGCACGATCCACCCTGAAACATCATGGCCACACTCACATGTAACGAAGCTTTTTACAGTGAGCAAGTGAAATATTGTTTAAATCTGCAGTCAGCATACTTCAGGTTTATCATGGCTTGTGAATCAAGTCTGGACCAGCCAAACCAGTGACTGAAAGCATGAACAACGATCTACTCCTGTCCAACCAAATTCTACTTTAGCAGGCCCTTACAACAGACCTGTGCCTGGGGATGCCGGCTACAATTGTCCCCAGCAAACCTATGCTGTTTGGTTGAGGAGATTTAACGGATTGGATGGTCAGGCAGGGTGATTTTGTTGATTGCATGTCATTGTATCCTGATGGCGTGCTCAATATCAGTCACTGGATTGTCTGGTCAAGAAATGAGTCTTCACATGCAATTACATTATACAACAAACGAACAAAAATGACACATGATGAAAGGCATGGTGTCTGCAAACAGTCGAAGTCTGGTGCCAAAACGTTGAAAAAGTTTTTTCTTATTAGTGCTTCAATATGCCAAAAATATTAGCGGCAGTTTTACAGGCTGGTTGTTCATGAGGATATTTACGGTATGTCAACAAGTCAAATACACAACCTACCTTTTTCTTCACACTGCTTTGAAGACAGCTGGAACTGTATTGTACACATGTAATAGCTGGGGTTTCCCATGGTTGCTGCAACACAAATACACACAAATAATATGTACTTGTAGGTCATCACTAGAGATTCCTGGCCAACCATTTAACATTCTTGGGGGGGGGGGGGGGGGGGGGATTGGGAGCCTGGTATTTTATTGAAAAAAATAATTTGCCCCCAAAAATTCTCAAAAATATTCATTTTAACATGACTAGTGAAAAAGAGAATGATATAGTCTATCACAAAAATGACATTATCGCAAGGTGTTATATATTAAACATATATTTAGGCTCATAGGTATAATTTAAAAAAAATTGGTTTTGCACTAACTGAAAAAATCAAGTCTCAAAACAGAATCCCAGCTCATTCACCACCCCCAGAAAATCAAATGGTACGTCCCTTACTCCATCAGAGACTGTCGTACAGATTTTACAAAACAAATGTCAGAATTGGTTTTGAATAAACAAATTCTGGCTCTCGTAAAATAATTGTGTTGTACACACAAATGTAACAATCTCTTTGTCATCCACACTCTATAATTAGATGTGAAGAAACAGTGTCGTCTATTTTGAGAATGAGAAGCTTACAGTATCACCCGACCTTAACCAGCCGTTACAGTGATGTCATTAAACAATAGGTCGAGAAAGTTAACTATTATACAAACAATGTGAATTAAAATTATGCATGTTCACATGAATTATTAATCAATTCGTTTATCTTGAACTGTATGTATAGTAATGTGATAATATGTCCACAAGATAATATGAAATTGTGATTACTCATCAAGTGGTAAAAATTGCCAGAAATGACTCATTTCAAAGTAATCTTACCTTGATAATATGGCAAGTGTCAACACGAACACAAGCCATGACAATGTACATTTAACAACGTACCAGTCACACATCTTAACTACTTAATATACCAAAGGACTGAATTTTTCTAATTCATTTGCGACATGACTTTCTACTGTAGAACCTGTTGATCTGTATTCATACTAGGGCTGGGACGGGTAACTCGGGTACTCGGGTCGGGTGGGTACTGAGTAGGACCTGGGTACCCACAGGACTACCCGGACCCATGGTTAGTCACGTGATATATTGTTTAATGACAAGAACTCACTATAGCTAAGTGGTTATACTACAAGACAAAAATGTTTGCATTTCTTGCTGATGATGCACACATTCCTTTTGACTTGTATATGTTTGAGGCAAGATAAAGCTTCAGTCAACTTCAGTGAACGCATGATCTGATTGTTTGATACATGTATCTAAATAGTTTTGGCCAAGGCTGCAGTAAAACAATTACCAATCAGACATTTTGTTCCCAACTCTTAAGACCTGCAGTGGGTACCTGGTTAGGGCTGGGTAATAGGGGGTCTGGTACCAAGGTAGTAAATTTGGACTCGTCCCAGCCCTAATTCATACCACATATCAAGGTTCGAAATAAGTCAACTTGTCCGAGATCAGTCACATTCATGAAGGACTAATGGCATTTCCTTGTTGACTACCAATTTTTGCCATTAGGTAGATTACAACTCTGTAGCATGTCAATTGTTGCCGACAAGTGAAAATATAAATTAATTTCTAACACTGCATTTTAAATATACTTCATCTTCCATACAAAATTCACGATTAACATGTTTGCATCTGAAACATTATCTCAATATTTATAAAAAGAAATGGTTAAATTCTTGTATTAACCTGATCCAGTTCTTCTCCAAGTGTTGATCATATTAGTACCAACCACAGAGAAATGTTAAATCTTTCTTTACCATTCCAAAATAATTTCATCTGATACAACCACCACCGCCACCCTTCAACTGATGCCTAAGTTTATTGTTAACATTAACAGGTGGTTACCAATTTCTTCTGCTTCACCATCAATCACCCTAGGCCCCGAGATCAGTTTTAAGTTGCCCTCGAAACTGGAAGCTCGTTTTAGGTTTAGGCCATCTCTGGTTTTTTCTTGGTTTACCATGGCTCTGGATAAATTTGTTTTGCCATTATGTATTTCCTCACATGTTGTCTTGTACATTGGGTATTGATAGTGTGTTTTTGGTATCGAATAAGAACATAAATATAATTTCATAAAATAGAATATAATCTTCAGCAGTAAAAAAATAAAATAATGTTATTTTTATTTATTTCATTATAATTGACATAATTGTAAACCAAGGAATAAACAAAATTCTGGCCTTTGTAGAGCTTTCAGTATGGAAAGAAATTACTCTCTGACAAATGCCCCTCAAGTTAAGATGATATTCAAGATTAGTGGCAGGTAAATAGTATACTCTGTACATACAACAACTGAGGTTATCACTGAGGTCCTCTTGTTCTACTTCCTCCTCAGGATTACCTTATATGGATTTAATACACTTAACTATTGAAGAAAACAATCAAATGATATATACATTCAATTTATCAATATAAACATATATTTCTCAAGGCATAACCTGTTCCAGTTTTTTTGTTCCTTATCTCCAGTCAGATCACATTATTACTGACAAGATAAAAACACTACTGTATTCGACGTAATAAGCGCCAAGGGCGCTCTCAAGATTAGAAATAGAGGGCTCTTATTAGAATATTATTTTGAGTTGAAAGATAAATTTTGTGGTTTATGCTGACAGCCTGAAATGTTTATATACGACAGATATATTTTTCCAGAATTTAACTGCCCATAACTGCATATAACACACGAGTGAGTATCATATATATTGATCATCAATTGGATGGGGTGCTAACTGGGATTGTTTACTTGCCAAAATATTAGCAAATATTGCCATGGTCGCTTATTAGAGCGGAGCGCTTATTACGTCGAATACAGTAGATGTTAAAACAGAGCTAAAATGACTTAGAACAAATTTTCATTTCCTCAACAACAATTTTAAACTTGAAATAGGATTTACATGAAGAAAGACAAATGTAGAAATAAGAATTATTTCCCTTTGAAGGATATTATTTAAAAAAGAATTTCTTTGTATTGTTGACTGATCTTCAGACATAAGAGACAGAAAAGCAACAAAATGTTGCTAATATGAACGGTAGAGCTTTCTTTCATGCATAAAATAAACAGGTAAAAAACCAATTAGTATTTATATATCACAGGCAGTAAAACACAGAAAATATTCATATCATTATATATCAAGAGTTATGGATAATTAATAAATGAACACATAAATAATGCACAGAAATAATGACTGAATGATACATTTGTTGAAATGTTAATGCAAAGATAGTTGTTAATAGAAACAGTAGCAGCAGGGACTTACTCATTGAACTGTCTGAAATATTGTGAGTACAAATTGTTGAAAACATAGGCATGTATTCTCTAGAAATGATTTTTGACATGAAATATGTATTTTTAAAACTGTCTATATCAGTTATATAAAGTTTGTAATAGTGTATAACTTGGTGAGTGAGTATTGTTCTACGTCGCTTTTAGCAATATTTTAGCAATATCACAGCGGGGACACAAGAAATGGGCTTCACACATTGTACCCATGTGGGGAATAGAACCCGGGTGTTTGACATGACAAGTGAACACTTTAACCACTAGGCTACCCCAATGCTGTATTACCAGGTGAAACTTATTTCAAATAGGATTAAAATTTCTTTTTTTAAACATTGTCTAAACCTGGTCAAAATGCTTTTTTACAAGTTAAATCCATGACCATCTAAACTGGTTCTCTATGGAACATTTAACAACAGTGGTAATTGTCAAAACCAGACTCTAAATAATATAAATCTCCGTCAATACTGGACCAAATTTATCCCTAATTTACTTCAATTAGAGATCATCATGTAAATCGAGTAATAATGACTTCCTTCTGTCCTTTCCTAAAGATTCCCGTGAAGATCCCAGTTAGACTAGGTCTTTAGCAACCCATGCTTGCCGTAAGAGGCGACAATGCTTGTCGTAAGAGGCAACTAACGGGTCGGGTGGTCAGTCTCGCTGACTTGGTTGATGCATGTCATCGATTCCAATTGTGTGGATTGATGCTCATGATATTAATCACTGGATTGTCTGGTCCAGACTCAATTATTTGCAGACCGCTGTCATATAGCTGGAATATTGCTGAGTGAGGCGTTAAACAACCAACCAACCAACCAACAACAACCTTTCCTAATGACACTGGATTCCACTCAGAAGTTGTGGGATGAGGTCCCATTTATAATGAAACTAACAAAACTGAGCTTACTTAAACATTAACATTAGAAACTGACAACATGAAATCAGCGACATTGTTCAGCGCAATAATACAATGCAAGCCCCGCCCACATAAGTATCATCCAATCAGAAAACAGCAGTCTGGTAGTGAGCATGGCCTATTTTGGGGTTCATGGAAATACAAATGCAAAATAATTGCTTGATTAGCCAATCAAACACTTTGGAATCACTTGCAATTTTTCATGGAAGAATAACTTTATCATATAATGGATAAAAACAGCATCTGTTGGGGGCATTTTTGGAAATATATAGCAAAAGAAAATGTCTGGTTGGTACTACTGTCAGTTTTTACAAACTTGTCTATTGACAACTGAATCAGATTTAACCATCGGGATCTGGACAAATTAAAAATTCTGATGATCGATTCTGATGATCAAAAGTTGGCATTCAGATATGAACTGCCATTTAAGAATCAAACACGAAAAAACAGATATGAAAGGTACTCACATCTTGCGTCCGAGGGTGTTTCTGTCAGCGCTGACAAATAGTCTTCATGGTAACCGCGCCTATTGCCTGGAGATCTCACGGAGCCCGCCACTGCAGCAAAAACACATCACATGTCACATATGTTACATTCTGATACTTTCACATCATAACATCATAACATATGGTAACCGAGCAATCTCATTAAAATCAGATGTTAGTTCTCGCTTCAGCTAAACAAAGATCTGAGGACATGCCATTTCGGGTCACATCAGACAGACCTCGCGCGAACTTTGACCAACCAATGGAATGACCAATCAGAAGGCAGCTACCTGCCCTAATTTCAAATTGGCGACTACGCTTCGAAACATATTTTGACAAATTCTCGATTACAAATTTGAAACCTCAACAAAAGAACATTCTGGAATGGCTAATAGATGGTCTAGATTGTATTGATTCAGTCATTAAGCCCGTAACTATCGTTCGGAGTTAAAGTTTTCGAGATTGTATGATTAGAAATCCCATTCCGACTGTCACTTTCATAATCTGGTAAGCGATGCCCTGATTGGTCAGATGAAAGTTCGTTCTGACGTGACCCCTAATGGGATGTCCTCAGATCTTTGTTTAGCGGTAGCGGGAACTGAGGTCTGATTTCAATGAGATTGGGTAACCAAGTTGACAATAGCTTGTCAGCTATTCCTTGATCACCTGAGTGTTGCCGCGTATACCTGTAAGATTGCTCACTCAACAATCACAGTGTATGGTGGGTTTACTGTTTAACACCAAACTCAGCAACATTCCAGTTATACTGTAAATAATTGAGTCTTGACCAGACAATTCAGTGATCGATATTGTAAGCAACCATCCAGACCATGGGGATACGATGACATGCGGGCTTGAGTTGGATTTAACACAGCTTTTAATAGTATATCCAGTTACATCACGGTGTGTCGGCTTAATGTGGAAGGAAAGCCCGAAGTAATGCAGTTCTCAGACGTTTACCACTTCGGTGAACCCACGAGCATGGGTATGGTGCTGACAAACCTAGAAACATAATCGGGGCGAACCGGGATTCGAACCCATAATCATAGGTTTAAGGCGTGCCCAAGGGACGCAACTCTGCACAGCAAATCACGGCGCTTTAGACGACTGGGCCACCCGTGCCCCCTACGATGACGTGCAATCAACCAAGTCACTGAGTGACAACAGATCCATTAAGCCGCCTCTTATGACCAGCACAGGATGCTGGGGGCCAAGTGTAATCCAGAAGCACCACATGGGTGTCAAGGTATGTGTGAATGTTGTTTTAGGCTTCATATATAAGTAAGGCCAGACAAGTTAGTTGGATGGAGGAGGGAAAATATAGATTCATACTTTTTTTTCGTATTACGGATTTATTGGGCAAAATTGGTTGGATGGAGGAGGACAAATAAACAGCCTTGAAAATGACGTTTTGTGACAAATCCTCAACTGTGTCAGTAAGCAATCTCATTAAAATCAGATCTAAGTTCTCGATGCCGCTAAACAAAGATCTGAGGGCATCCCATTACGGGTCACGTCAGAACAAACCTTTCGCAAACTTTGACCGACCAGTGAAATGACTAAGAAGAAGTTGACATCAGCCAATTAGAAAGCAGCTTTCTTGAGCTTTACGGCACTCATTTCAACCTGGCGACTTCCATTTCAGACTACGCTTGAAAAATATGATGACACAGTTATCGAACAAACGAACATTCCCGGAATGTCTAATATATGATTGAGATTGTATGGCAGTGCAATGCCTCCTCCATTAAAAAATGTTTATCCCACAGAAGCGAGACATAGACGATAATTGTGACGGAATCAGTCGTACGGGCCATAACTGTCGTTCGAAACACCCTGTGTTAACGTTTTCGAGGTTGCATGATTAGAAAACACATTCTAACTGTCACTTTCATGATCTGGTAAGCTACGCTTTGATTGGTCGGATGAAAGGTCGTTCAGACGTGACCCGTTATGGGATGTCCTCAGATCTTTGTTTAGCGATAGAGAGAACTAAGATCTGATTTTAATGAGATTGTGTCAGTAAGCTCCATTTTTCTTGAGGAGGCAGCTATTTCATTTTGTGAGTTACACAAAAGTAATTTGACGACATTGGGCAAAACCAAACGCAACCGTAACAAATTCCCAAATCCCACAATACTTGACTTGGTGCCATTTTGAGTGATGCACAAATATGCATAAACAGTAATCAGCCAGAATTGATTGGCTCATGAAACTGTCCTTCGCACAACACTACATAGTTTCTCATTGGTTCCCTTTCTTGGACTTACTAAATCTCATCCAAAATTTTATAAACACATTTTTCCACTTTAGGTTTATATAGAAGAATGTCATATCAAAAGTTGATAAAATCATGAAAATGTCCCTTCCTGTTTGTCCCTAGCAAATCCCTGCAATGGGCAACAAAATTCCACTGGAAGGTTGAAAATCCATACCACAATATATTCTCTATTACCAGGGTAGGCCAGTAATCAGAAATGAACTGACTCTAATTTATATCAATATCACAAGTCAACTGATCCGTAAGTATTCACAACAATCTGAATAAAGCTCTGATACTCGTACAATGGATCCGTGAACACTTGGGTAAGATTAACTCTTCAGCAACCCATGCTTGCTGTAAAAGGCATATACTTGTCATAAGAGGCGACTAACAGGGTCAGGTGGTCAGGCTTGCTGACTTGGTTGATGCATGTCATCGTATCCCAATTGTGTGGATAGATGTTCATGATGTCAATCACTGGATTGTATACTTGATTATTTACAGCCTGCCATCATACAGCTGGAATATTGGAGTGAAGCTTTTAACAACAAACAAACAAACTCGTACAATGTACAAAAACGGTCAAAACAATTTCTAAATGATAAAATATTCTCGATCACATGATTTGCACGATGGTAAGGAGAGAAAGGTTTATTTCAGATGCAACAATATACAGTTAGTTTTAACACAAGAATAATCAAGCATGTCTCTTCAGGTAACCTGGGGCTACAATGAGTTCATGCAATATAACAAAACGCTATTGATCTTGGACAGAAATTTTGTCCTGCCAGGTAGCTGAAACATGTTCGCTGATTTCATTAGCTTGGCGACCTTGTATTGACAATTCTGTCATAAACACTGTCGTTCATGATTTATCGCGACAGTCTTCATAAAACTCATCTCAACTGACCATGCATTCTTTGGGTGGACACAGCCCATACTGACATCTCCAAGATTAGCCATAAATGGGGGCCATAAAATTATTAAGTGTGGAATGATACACTGACATACTGCACTGCTATACTGGGCCTTGGAGTATAATGATACACAATACATAGACCAGGGCCCTGTTCCACAAAGTGATTAAGGAGGGGAGGGAGGATTTTATCCCCCCCAAAAAATTGTCCTATAAAAAATCTTTAAAAAAAATAAATTCTGTCCATACTATTGGAGAAAAGTTTTTTGTCTGCCACAAAAATTACACTGACGCAATGTGTTTTTTAGAAGAAAAAAATTGGAGCTCATGGTTTTAACTAAGAAAATATCTGTTTTTTTGCAGAAAAACAATCTGGTCTCAATACAGAATCCCAGCCCTCCCCAGAATATCAAATGATCGGTCCTTAAGTATGGGAGTTTTATCTTCTTAAAGTTAAGATTGCTTTGTGTAACTGGGCCTTGTACACACATATTTTGTACTTACTTAAAAAATACAGTTTGAGAGTGTAAAAAAGTGTTATGACTAAGTTTTGCCCTGAACTATTGTAGTTATAGCACGGGGACATTGGATTTTACAGTAATTTAGGACAAAATGAAAGTCTATTAAACTGCACATTGGGGTAGAGCAAACTTTATTACTTTTCTAAGAAACAAATTTAAGATTAGCTTTGGGTTTTATCTTTGTAAATAATGATGTTACCAAGGATATGTTAGATCATGGGCAGGTAATTTGAACAGTGTCATGACATCAGCCCATTCTCTAAAAGTACTTTATCAGTCAGAGCCTTTGATCTTTAAGCAAAGAATTAATCAAAGAATAACTTTATCTTCCAACAAAAACAGTGTGCTTTTTATAACGTTTGCTTGTCATCAATTTAACGTGTTAAAGGCATCCCTTCTTGTAATTGGTTGACACTCTCTCAACAGCCAATCGCAAAGCTTAAAATGTAGGGCACTTCAAGCCGCTGGTTACACAAAGGGCCAAGTGCGGGAATAACGTGAGATTGAAACTAGCTGTTTCAGATCGTTTGGCCTTCCCTGTTACTTTTTGTATGGACAATTAACATGCAAGAAAAAGTCTGTCCCGACTGTTTCACTCATCTAAAATACGTGAGTAGCACCACCAACTTGACGACAGACCTTCGGCGCCATCACACAATCATTTACATTACCAGTGCAATGCAGAATGCCGAAGTTGCTACTGAACCAAGCTTCATGTTTACTTGGCAAAGTTACGTGAGGAGATTCTGCATCAAGATTAAGTGACTTACATGTTTTAGATAAAATTACAAAAATACCTTTTCACTTCATGGCCTTTGTGTTGCTATTCTGGCATATTGAGATACATATTGCATCCTGACTAGTGTATTGAGATACGCAGCAAGTAGAGTAGGAAGGTATCACTGAACTCCTAAAATCTATGTTCTTTATTTGGTTCCAGTTTTTGATGAAACTCAACAACTTCTGCAGTTTGAAAAGATGTTGCTAAAGTGAGTGAGTAGGGCCTATGTCACATTCAGCAACATTCCAGCAATATTCCAGCGACAGGGACACAAGAAAAGGGCTTCACACATTGTACCCAAGCTGGGAGTAAAACCTGAGCCTTTGGCTTGATGAGTTATCACTTTAACTACTAGGCTACCCACTTGGTGGTTCGATCCACAGCCGCGTCATACAAAAAGACGTTAAAAGGTGGTAATACTGTGCTAGTTTGTTTATTTGTTGTTTAACGCCACACTCAGCATATTCCTGCTATATGACAGCACTCTGTAAGTTATCAAGTCCGGACCAGACAATCTAGTGATTGACAACATGAGCATCGATCCACGCAATTGGGATCGATGACATGAATCAACCAAGTCAGCGAGCCTGA